GGCACAATTCGCTGCGCGACTCGGCTTACGACCGCCTCGGCACTGTCGCCGCCGAAAGCGGACGCTGGCGCGGCGACTGCGGGGCCGAAGCGATGTCCGACCCGATCTCAACCCGATCGCCAGTTCCACCGCCATCTTCGCCAGGGCCGCGGGCTCCCACTTCGGGCGCCTCGCCCGCTCGCTGGGCGCAACCCAGCGCGCTGGCGCGCTGCTCGCCGCGGCACCGCTGCCCCGCCGCGACAACATGCGCGACGGGAGGAGGCCCCGCGCCGGATGCGCTCGCCGCAGAAGGCGCGCCACATGGCCATGCGCGAGCGCCTCCGCCCCGACGCGCTCCACATCGCGATCAAGAAGCGCATCCCATCATGGCGTCTCCAGCCCCCCGCGCCTGCTCGCCGCGACGATCCAGCAACGCAGCGCGCGCGCTATGCGCGAGAGCGGCTCCAAAATCGCGCCGGCGCCCTCCCGGACGACCGCTGCATCGTCGACAAGTGCGATTGGAACTCTTGGCGCGTGGAGTACGTCCACCATGTTTCGCCTCGACCTGTTCCAGCCGCTGTTCCGCGCGCGGGCGCAGCGCGGTCGCCTCGCCGTCGAGGTCGGCGAGAGCGCCCGGGCCGCCTCCAACATGGCGCGCAGCCGCCTGGAACCCGCACTCCTCAGTGACATGGGCCGCGACTCCGAGCGCGTTCGCCGTCAGGGGGCTCTCCGCATCTTCGCCGCCGCCGTCGAGCGCGCGGCCAGCGCGACCGCTCCCCTGCCGAGTCCGACCCGCAGCTCTCCAACGGGGGCGACGAGCACGACGGGGCAGCGGAGCCAGACGAGCCAGATTTGGCACAGATGCGCGAGCCCCCCGCGGATCTTTTCCGAGCGCTGGATGCGCCCCCGCTGGTTCCTGGCGACCCAGCCCTCCAGCGCGGGCGCGGGCCATCCTTCCGCAGAAGCGGCAATCCATATATGGGCGCGACCGCCCAGGCCCCGTGCACCACTACCTTCAGCGCCCGAAGATGACCCACCATGTTGCGCACCCACGCGGCCAGCTGAGCGAGAGTGCCCGTGTGCGCTTAGGCCCCCGACCTCCAGTCGGGGCCGCCGGCTCAGCCAATCGCTGGGGCATCGCAATCCGCGCGCGCCATCTCATGAAGGGCTCCATCGTCACGGACCCGAACGCGCTCTACAGCGCCACTGCCGCCGCCCCGCGCCTTCCGCTTCCCCGCTTGGGCTGAGGCCTGGCCCGCGCGCCGCAGACTGACTGGCCGAGCGGACGAACGTGGCCGCCAGCTACGTTCGTTTTTCTTCCCTCGTGCCTCTTCTCCATCAGCGTTTCTTCCTTGCCGCGCCACCTGCGACTCCCCCCCATGCAGGGCCCTGGGGCTGAAGACCCAGTAATGGCACCCTGGCACGATTTAGGATCGCCAGGACGCAACAGCTTCTTCTGATTGGCCGCGATGGGCATATGTGGACAAGGTTCAGTGCGACAGCCTTGACGCGCCTTGGATTCACAGTGGTCCTCATCTTCCTCCTGCTCCTCCTCCCGATTCTCTTCCTTCCACTCCCCTCCCCTCCCCCTTTTTTCAATCAGTTGATGCCTCCTTCTTTCAGTAGGTGCGCGCGCGTCGTTCGCCCGCGCGCCTTCTGGAGCCCTTCGGACGAACGTGTCAAGGAAGGGGCAGCCAGATGGGCCATCCGCGCCCATCTTTGGTTCCACGGGCCCCGCCGCGCATGCAGCGGATCCCACGGGAATTCCCGATCCTCCACCTGGCGCGGAATCTCCTTTGGGACGCGCTTTGCAGCATGAGTGCACGCGCGTCTTGACAGCCACCGCCGCGCGCCGATGGGTTTGAACAGATTTGCGCCTGATGCGCCGTCGACAGGGCACTGCGCGACTGAGCTACGACGAGCAACGCCATTGTGACTCGACTGCGCGCTCAACGCAGACCGCGTTCGACACGATCACCATCGATAAACCGCTCCCTACGACCAGTGGCCGGCCAGTCTTTTCGTCAGCTGCAAGGGCGTACTTGTCTCGCAGTTGATTGGCGACGCGGGAACAACGCCACGAACATCTCCGTCGCGAAGTTATGGCGGGCACAACGCGTTAGGCATGCGACGGGCGGTACGTGCAGGTGCTTGGTTGTGGCCCGTCAGAGCTGGGTGCGTTACGAGGTGATGCGGCAACGTGCCACCACAAAAGGTCGGTAATGCAGTGCTGGCCTCACCTTCTTACACACGAACCACGCGTCGCAGCAATTTGGCACGTTAGCCACGCAGTGCTGCCAACGTTGGGGCAGCTATGAACAGCCGAAATAGGCACCTGCGGCACTGCGCTGCTGGTGGCCGTATCCAGACAGCAAGCGCCGCGCCAGTGCCATTCGGCACTCACCAGACCAACATACGGACCAGTCAACAGCATTGACTGGCAAGCGCTGGCAACGAGAAGCACACTGACGCAAACAGCTGGACGAGCTGCGTCTGTGCGCCCGCGAAAAAATGCGCGCGGGCGTTCTCCCGCCACGCTGCCGCGAAAGCGCCGCAACGGCCAGCTACGCCCGCCCGCGCGCACATACTCACCCAGGAGTGCCGAAGCCGAGCGGCCACACCAGCACTGCGCCGAAAGCAAAGCTCAGGAGCGAACCTGGTTGGAAGGCACGATGTGTGCTGCGGCTTGAGCGCACGCCAGGCACGAGTTGTGCTAGGCCCCTACGAGCAGCGCCCTGCTTCCAGCTGTCAGGCAACATCGCCCGGTCGACACCACATCGGGTCACGAACCTGTTTTAGGCCCTCCTTGCCGTAAGGTGCCGGTGTGATTCATGACCCTGGTCATGGTCAGCTACCTTATCCCACGTTCGATGCGACCACAGACGAACCGACTGGGTTCCCCAGGGTTCTCGACATCCCCTTTGGGCTGAGTATCCCGAGCCATGTGTGAGTTGTGTGCCGGACGTCCACTGAGACGGCCGTGCTGCATTTCACTGCGGGTGACCCTCTGTGGCCGAATTTCTGCGGAGGGACATTCTCCATTGCCCAGTAACTCCGATTCGAATACGAAGACGCGTGAGCGCCCGATGCCATTGGCTTACAGCCTGCGCGCGGAATGGCACAAAGAAAGGGGAAGCGATTGCCGCTTTGCTTTTACCATTGCCGCCATGTTTGTTGTACTTCACCCCCATTCCATCCGCAATGTTGTTCCTCCTCCTCCTCCTCCTCCTCCTTCTCTTCCTCCTCCTCCTCCTCCTTCTCTTCCTCCTCCTCCTCCTCCTCCTCCTCCTCCTCCTCCTCCTCCTCCTCCTCCATCCTCTTTCATTTTTAATATTGCGAAGGCCTTACGGCCGGTGCCGCCGACCCTGAAGAGGGACGTCGACGACGACGGCGGCGGTGGCGGCGGCGACGACGGCGACGCTGATGCGGGTCCGAATCCTGAGGGATGCTTTCGGGGTCTTTTGGGAAGGTTCTCCGGGGCCTCTGGGGGAGATTTTTAGGGTTTGGGGGGGGGCATTTGGGGGGCATTTTTTTGAGTGTCCTGCGGGCCTCTCGAAGGCTTTTTGGGGCTTCGTGGGGACCTTTTGGGGCGTCCTGGGATTTTCTCGGAGCGATATTTCCGTTCGGGTTCCCCGTCAAGGCACGTTCCTGGAGCTGGAGCCGTTTGGGGGGCCTTTTGGGCCGTTCTTCAGGCGTTCAGGATTGTTTTGGGATGATTTGGGGATGTTTTGGAGCGCCCTTGGAAGCCCATTGGGCCGTCTGGGAGCGATTTTGAGGACCTCTTCGGCCGTCTTGGAGCGGCGGGAAGCGGAAAAGGCGAAAACGCCCAAATCTGTCAAACCCTTAAATCAAATCAATAATGTGTGCCTCTTGTGGCCGTTTTGGGAGTGCCTTTGGAGGCCTCTTGGGGCGTCTGGGAGGTATCCTGGGCAGTCTGGGAGCGTGAAGGCGGTTTGGACCGATCGTTTGGCGATTGGGGGCCCACTTGAACTGTCTCGGGAGCCTCTTGGGGCACTATTGGTTTGCTTTGGTATTCTTCCAGCCCCGAGACCCCCAGAGGGGCGATGGGTATCTGACCCCCCCCCTCCCCTGGCCCCCCCCCCCTTCTGGACCCCCCCCTCCCCGACGGGGAGTGGATCAAGATTCGATTGCGGCATTGCGAGGTTTTTCTTTTACAGACAGGCTTGAGCACGGTGCAGGGAAAAGGGGCGACGCAGACGACGACTGACGGAGACGACGACTCGAACAGACAAACCGCTCGCACACGCCGACACGGTCAGCGGATTTCGTCCTTGTCGCACCCCGGGACGTGACGGTAGGGCGGGCCAGGCGTTTCGTTTCAGACTTGTTCACCGTTCATGATCTTTTAGCGTAAACGTTGCAACAGTTTCACGTATGGAGGACGGGCCGTTTTCAAAATGTGGTTCTCGCCTTGGCGCCGCGCATATTCGTGCCAACACTTCACGACTGCATCATTGAGTCTTATGGCTGAAGTCCCAGAGTTGGCGTTTGGACGCGATGCCAGATTGCCAGGGCGCAACGGTCACGTTGATTCGTGGTGTTGAAGTCCCAGAGATTACCTTCTGGCACGGTTCAGGACCGTCAGGGCGCAACAGTCATGTTGATCCGGGGCGCTGAAGACCCAGGAATAGTGTTTTGGTTCGGTTCAGGATTTCCAGACGGTTGTTTTCCGACGGGACATTTCCTTCAGTGAAATTACATGTTTGGAGGGACCTACGAAAAGGCGAACAACTGCAGGGAGGGTGCATCATCTTTGATGGGTTTTGGGTTTGCACTGGTCGTCCTCTTCCTCCCCCTCCTCCTCGCCTCCCTCTCCTCGTCCTCTTCGTCCTCCTCGTCCTCCTCCCCCTCACCCTCCTCGTTCTCGTCCTCTTCCTTGTCCTCCTTCTCCTCCTCCTCCCTCCCTCCCTCTCTCTTCTCCCCCCCTTCTTTCCTCCCTCCTCCCCCAGTTGGGAGCGAGCCTCACCGTTCGCCGTGGTTTCTCGCCCGCCCTCGGCAAGGGGGCGCCAGCCAACGGCATCGTCAGCGCGCTCCACATGATGGAGGTCGAGAAGACCGCGAACGGGGTCCTCGAGGTTCGTGTGGGACGAAGCGGGGGCGGACAGGGGAAAGGGCGATTACGATGCAGTGAGCGGCTTGCATAAGGGACCCTTGCTTTTCAAGAGGGGCTCGGTCGTCCCTTATTAGGCCTGCATGCGTTACTTCTCGTTCCGTATGCGCTAGCAAAAAAGGTACCGTTCCTTCTGCGGTTCTTCCCTGGACACGAAGAGGTGCTTCGTTCCTCATCCACCGCTCCTTATGGGTCAAGCCGCTCGCTGCAGGGGAAAGGGGGGATGACGATACCGGCCGCGTGCTGCTGGCCTCGGCCCCGCCGCTGGGCGCCTCCGAGAGCGCGGCCGCTCCCGGGCGCCAGCGAAAACCGACCGGGCGTGAGCCGATGCGCCGGCCCCTCCCTTGATCGGGGGCCCCCGGGAGCCTCGAGACGGGGGTCAACGCAGACGGGGGTCCGCCAGAGCGCCCCGACCTTGCAGGGCCCTGCAGGGCCAGGGTCGCATCGGCCCGGGTTTGGGTGCGAAGGATCCTGCAGGATCTTGCAGGAGCCTTCGCACCGGCCCGGGGTTGGGTGCAGGATTTTCCAGGAGCTTGCAGGATTCTGCGAGGCCTGACTGACCCGGGTCTGGATGGACCCGGGTCAGAGGACCCCCGAGGCCCCCCAGACGGGGTGGCCGGGAGCGGCCTCGGAGCTCTGCTGCCTCGCCCGCGGAAAAGAGGAGGGCAAGGAGGGCGGGAGCAAGCGGGGTGGTGGCCACACCGTGTGGTGGGTCGAGTCGGTGGGGCTTCGGGGTCACCGCGCGGTTTTTTGGGGCTCGGGTCGTTCTCCGAGGACGTCTCGGGCGACCGGGGCATCCGAGGTCCCAAGACCGTGCGTTTGACGGACCGTGCGGTGAGGTCTTGGGGGATTTCGAGGTCACCGCACGTTCTGTCATCGCACCGTTTTGGGACTCCAAACTCCAAACCTTGTTCGAGGAAGCGAAAACATGGATCAGGTCGGCGGCGAATGAAGGGGGGAAGTGAGAGGGAGAAGGCCTTCACAGGAGGCTCGGAAGCCCCCGGCCTTCTGAGAAGTTGTCCGAGCATTCCCCGAAGACAGACAAACAATTTCTCTGAAGGCACGCGGGCTTCTGAGAAGTGCCGCCGCCTTCTGAGAAGGCCTTCTCCTTCTCATATCCCCCCTCGCTCGCCGCCGACCCTAACGTTGTCCACTGGTCCTGGTTTCCGGGTCATACCTCGGCTCTCCGACGACCGTTCGGGACGATCTCGGCAACCCCAGAACGCCCTCGGCGAGGCGCAGCTGCTTGAGTGCATCCCGAGGGTGGAAAGCCGCCTAGGACCCACGACATCGGTACCGCCGCTTCTCGTCTGAGCGATGTGCCCGTCGCCGACTCATGGGCGCGGGCGCCCTTCCCCTGTCCGCGGATCTGGCGCCCACGCAACGGTTTGCCTTGCTTGGCCTTCTGCCTCTGCGTAGTGTGCGGGTTTCGGTTCCTCTCTCGGTCGTTGTCCCTCCCAGACCCCATCGCGCTGTGACAAAAATCACGACGGGAAGTTCTTAGCTATTTTCGGCCTCCGGGGGCCCTTGCCGGGCCCCGGGACCGTCCAAAAATGGCTCAGGATGAAAAACCGGTCACGGGGAATGAGCCCAGACATTTGGCCCAGGTGTCTGGGCCCCTTCCCCGCACGCATGAACGATAATGGATGGACGGCGCGTTTGCCCGCGCGGGCAACGCGCGGGCACGAACGACTGGCCCTCCATGACCGCCAACATTGGACGCTGAGCATACCCGATCACATACCTGAGCGATGTGTGGAGTATACATGGGCCGTTCAGCCCCCATTGCAGGACCCCCCGTTGCAGACCCTTTCTTCCACCCTCCATCTGGGGGTCGACATCGTGAAAACTTCAGGACGTCGGGGGTCTGGGCTCCGCCGTGGTGTCCTTCCCCGGGCCCCGCCTCGCTCGCTTTTTCCGGGCCCTCGCTCGGTCCCCGCGTCGTCGCTCGCGAGGTCGTGTGTCTCGGAGGTGGTGCTGGATTCGAGGCTGCGTCCACGACCAAAAAAATCGTGATTCGTGTTGGCGTGCGCCCGATGTGCGATCCCTCCCCTCTGTCGGGGGGGCAACGATAGAGGGGGACAGGGATGGGGGGGAAGCATCGACCCCCAATCGCTCATGGATCGCCGTTAGGGGCCCGATTGCCCCCCCCTTCCCAGGAAGGTGCGGATTCACAATCGGGGGCCTTTCGCCGATCTAAATGATGTATCGCCGATCTATCAATGATGCATCCGCCCCATGCCTATCCCCCCCTATCGTTGCCCCCCACTCTCGCCCAGCCCGGGGGAGGTCGCGTTCCAGCAGCTGGCCCACCTCAGCCCCGAGGAGATCGCCGGGGCCCTTTACCTCGCCGCCCGCAGGCTCGGGGGCTTCCTCCTCCACCTCCTCCTCCTCCTCCTCCTCCTCCTCCTCCTCCTCCTCCTCCTCCTCCTCCTCCTCCTCCCCCCGCCTCGCTTTGACGCCCCCTTTGGGGGGGGGGGCCCTCCAACGCCTCGAGAAACTCAGCGCGGAAGTTGCTTGCTGCCTTCGGCCTTGGGTGGGCCCTCGCCAGGCCCCCAGGACGTCAGAACGATTGGGCATGAAGGGCCGGTCCCGGGGAAAGGGTCCGGACCGGTGAGGACCACGCGTTGAGAATTTCAAGACGTCGGATGTCTGGTAAGGCTTCGGGGTACGCAGAGACAGCCCCCGGCTGGCCTCGACAGGCCCCACGAGCCCACGAGTAGTCCCAGCTGGTCTCCACAGGCCCCCCGAGGAGCTTGGGGCGGTCTCCACATCCTGCGGCGCGCTCCGTGCCCCAGGGATGAGGCGTTAAGACCGCCCTGGACTATGCGCGGGGCCTGTTGAGGCCAGCTGGGACTACCTGGCGGGTTCGTCAAGGCCAGCCAGGACTACCTGGGCGGACTGCCTGCGCGCAGCCCGAGGCCTTGCCACTCCAGGGCCCTGCTCGCCACAGCTGCACTCGTCCGGGTATTCTTCGCCAGAATGTACTCTTCCTGTCAGAGTCGACTACATGTAAGAGTGACCCTTCGCCGGAGTGACCTTTCGCGCGGGCCCACTGGGGTCCTCAGATCGCCGAACGCGACACGGTGAATAGCGTCTTGCGCGCTCGCGTTTGGTCCCCCCGCGGCCCCCCGAGAAGCCGCGCACCAAAGGTCACTCTGACCCAGGGTCACTCCTGCGTGCAACGAATCGACGGAGGTCTGGGCAGTCCCAGACCCCCGACGTCGCGGCTTGCTTACAAGCAGCGTGGACCCCCGGAAGCCTCGTCTTTTCCCCGGGAACCGCTTCTCCCCCCCAAGTCGTATCGCACGGCCCTCGGGCCTGGCGGGGGCCCCTAGGGGCCGAAGCTGTTCAACATCTGCCCGCCGCGACGTGTTCGGGATGCGAGCGTGTCTGGGGCTGTGGGAGACGATCAATAGAGCGGAGGCATGTTGCCAAACAGTCTCCAGATGTCAAAGCCACTGTTTTAACACATCTCAAATTCCCCACATGTTTTGTGGGGCTCTGGTTTTCTTCCCTCCCGCGCCGCACCCGCCTTCCTCACACACCCTCCCCTCCTCACCTCCTCCTCCTCTTCCTCCTTTGGCGACCCCACCCCCACACGCGCACCATACAAAGCTAGTGCAGACCTGGCGTGTTCACTCCATCATACACACAAGACGCATGCACCACATACTGGGCACCCACATTATGAGTTCACCATGCGTGCCATCCTCCTCACCGCAGAGGGTGCGCAGAGGGGTGGGGTTGCTATCCGTGTTAGGCTCCAACGGCGTAGCCTTTTCTCAACATCAGAGGGGGTGCATAAGGGTAGGGGCGCTGTCCCTGTCAGGCTCCCAGGGCGCGACAGGCGTGGCACTTTCTCGACGCCAGAGAGGGTGCGCAGGGGGGTTGTGGCGCTATCTGTGTCAGGCTCCCAGGGCAGGCGTGGCATCTTCTCGGGACCAGCGATGGTGTGCAAGGGGGTGGGGGCGCTATCCGTGTCAGGCTCACAGGGCGCGGCAGGCGTGGCATTTTGTCGACACCAGAGGAGGTGCATAGGGGGTGGGGGCGCTATCCGTGTCAGATTCCTAGGGCACGACAGGCGTGGCACTTTCTCGACACCAGAGAGGGTGCGAAGGGGGGTGAGGGCGCCACCCGCGTCAGGCCCCCAGGGCGCAGCAGGCGTGGAGTTGTCTCGAAACCAGAATGGGTGCGCGAGGGGGTGGGGGCGCTATCCGTGTCAGGCTCCCAGGGCGCAGCAGGCAGGGCATTTTCTCGGCACCAGAGGGGGTGCATAGGGCCTAGGGGGTGGGGGCGCTATCCACGTCAGGCTCCCAGGGCGTGACAGGCCTGGCACTTCTCCGACACCAGAGAGGGTGCGCAGGGGGTTGGGGGCGCCATCTGTGTCAGGCTCCCAGGGCATGGCAGGCGTGGCACTTTCTCGGCACCAAGGAGGGTGCGCAAGGGGTGGGGGCGCTATCCGTGTCAGGTTCCGGGTACGCAAGGGGGCGGGGGCGCTATCCGCACCAGGCTCCCAGGGCGCGGCAGGCGTGGCATTTTGTCGACACCAGAGGGGGTGCAGAAGGGGTGGGGCCCTATCCGTGTTGATCGCCCTGGGCGTAGCATGCGTGGGATTTTCTCGACATCAGAGGGGGTGCGCAAAGAGTGAGGGCGCTATACTTGCCAGCCGTCCAGGTCTTATCAGGCGTGGCGCTTTCTCGACCCAAATAGGGCTGCGCAGGGGGTGGTCCCGCTGTCCGTGCCGGCTCTCCAGGGCATGGCAGGCGTGGCATGTTCTCGACGCCAGGTGGGGTGCAGAAGGGGGCGGGGGCGTGGCAGTCGTGGCATTTGTCGACGCCAGAGGGAGGAGGAGGAGGAGGAGGAGGAGGAGGAGGAGGAGGAGGAGGAGGAGGAGGAGGAGGAGGGGGGGAGGAGGAGGAGTAAGAGGAGGAGGAGGAGAGGAGGAGGAGGGAGGAGGAGAGGAGGAGGGAGGAGGAGGAGGAGGAGGAGGAGGAGGAGGAGGGGGCGCGCCATCATCGGGCACTGTCACTGCCCTGCCTGATGCCGGCGCGGTGCAGAGCGTCGCCAAGCGCTCGCGCCCGCGTCGCAGGGCGCGGCAGGTGCAGGCTCGCACGGCGCGGCGGCAGCGCCTCGGGCTTTCCCCTTGCCGCCCCAGTGAAGCGGCCCTCGCCTCTTCTTCCTCCTCCTCCTCCTCCTCCTCCTCCTCCCCCCCTCCCCCCTCCCCCCTCCTCCCTGCTCCCTCCTCCCTCCTCCCCCCCTTCCCCCTCCTCTCCCCTCCTCCCCTCCCTCCTCCTCCTCCTCCTCCTCCTCCTCCTCCTCCTCCTCCTCCTCCTCCTCCTCCTCCTCCTCCTCCTCCTCCTCCTCCTCCCCCGCCCACCGCCTCGCTGCGAGCATCTGGTTCGCTTGAGGCATCCTTGAACAAACGCCTGATTCGCTTGAGACATCCTCGACTGTTTCCCCACGCGACGTCTTCGCCGCGATGACCACCTAGCATGATCCACATTTGTTGCGCGTCAGCTATGCTGACACAGAAGTTGAAACGAAGTATGTGGGGGTCCTCGGTAGCGCAATTCAATGATGGGACTTTTGCGGTGTCCAGTGCCATGGCGCATCCAGAAGTCTGGGGGGGAGTGCGTGGCGGTGTCGGCTTCCTCCTGCTCCACCGAACAGGCTGCGCCGGCCCCAGCTCGAAGCGGCCTCGGCCCTGCTCCTGCAGCCGCTGCTGCTGCGGCTTCAGGACTAGGGGAACAAAGAATGGCATAAACATAAAGACTCGGAGGTCCGCGAGGCTTTCTCGGATCGGCGCTGGACCCCCCCTCTCTGGCGCGCGGAGCGCTCCAGGGGCGGCGCCGGAGGCGCCGCCAGGGGGGTCCAGCGCGGATCCGAGAAATCCGCGCGGGCCTCCGAGTTTTTTGTGTTCACGTCATTCCTCGTTCCCTGAAGGACGGCATCGCAGAGCTGCGCGACGGCCGCGGCCTCTCGCAGCTGGCGTGGGCCCTGGGCAAGTTCGGCACGCGGGCCCATTCCCCAGACCCCCGCGCGTCGTGGCAAGGAGCGCGACGGGCCCTTGGGGGGGCCGTCTTTTCGGCCTCCTGGGTTCTTCGCCGGGCCCCGGGAGATTGTCAACCCCAGAGATCCAAAGTATGGACAAGCATCAAGACGGACGTTTGTCTCAGTTTCCGGCCTCTATAAGGGGCCCTCGCCGGGCCCCGGGACCGTCACAGAACGACTCGGTATGAAAAACCGGTCCTGGGGAATGGGTCGAGACTTCCGAGGACCCCGTCTAAGACCGGGTTTTCACTACTATGTTGCACTACTATAATACGGGAATGGGTCGAGATTGTTGAGTTTTTCAATACTATTGAAGAAATCACGACGTCGGATCTCTGGGCGCGGGGAACGGGTCGAGACCTCCGTGGGTCGACGTGGCGACAGGAGCACGGCACCGGGGGTCCGGGTCCTCGAGGGAGGGGCTGCTGCACAGCCATCAACATTCGGAGCTCTTCGCGGCTTCCTCGGATCGGCACCGAGGCTCACCCGGCGGCGCCTTCGGCGCCGCCCCTGGCGCGCCAGGGAGCGGACGTCCATCGCCGATCCAGGAAAGCCGCGCGGAGCTCCGAAAGTTTATGCTTCTAGATGTCGCGTTTACCTCCCTCCACCGTCCGCGCTGCTCTCTGCCCGCGCACGGCATCGACGAGTGCAGTCGAAGAAGGAAAAACTCCATGAACATAACGTTTGGCGCTCCGTGCGGATTTCTTAGATCCGCGCTGGGCCCCCCCCAGCGGCGCCTCTGGCGCCGCCCCCTTGCGCGCTCAGCGCCAGGGAGGGGGAGGGGTCCAGCGCAGATCCAAGCAATCCGCGCGGAGCGCCAAAAGTTTATGTGTTCATGGTGCTGTTCCTTCTTCAGCGCATGCTCCACGTGTGCCAGCAGTACCCCGCGGTCCTGGCGGAGTGCTCCGACGCGGAGCTCACGAACTCGCTGTGGGGCCTCGCCAGGCTGTACCCGGGAGCGGCCAGTGGCGTGGCGGGCTGGGTGGAGGCCGTGGGCAAAAGGGCTGCAAGCTGCTCGCAGGCAGTCCCTGCCCCCGAGGTAGCTGCGGTCGAGCGTCTGGTCAAGAGGCCTCCTCCCGACGAGCTGGGCCAGTGTTTCGGTATCGTTTAACCGATCCCCATCCCCATCCCCATCCCATTCGAGACCCCCACCAGATTACCACCCCAGTTGGGGATACACCCCTCGGAACCCGAAGGGAACGGCCTAGATCCCCATCGATCAAAGGCGTTAAAAAACGTCCCTACCCTGGTTTATGAGGCGCTGTTCGCTGAACCTCCTGTGGGCTGACAGGGTAAACCGTGCGTATCGCGCGTGCGGCGCGGCGTCCTGGCGGCTCTCTGGCCTGTGGGAGCTCCCAGGAGGTTTACTGACCACGCACTTGTAACCCAGGGTAGGGGTGTTTTTTCATTCCTCAAATCTAGGGGGGTAAATCGGCCAGTGGGGCCCAGGCCACGCCGCTGGGGATGAGGGTCGGATAAGCGGTGCTCATTCCTGACCAGCTTGCCGGGGAGCTGCCCCAGTTTCTCGAGCACGCTGCCCCCTCCAGCGGTAGCAACAGAAATTCTAAACGCTTCGCGTATCCTCACCAGCCTAGGCTCGCCCGCTGCTTGTCTCTTCCGCCGTCTTTTCTCTCGTTGTCTTCCTGTCCTTTCTCTTGCGCAATTTAGGCCGTAGCTTGCGCGCTATGACTTTGACGGCGTGCGGCACCTCCGCATCGCTTGCGATCAAACAGTATCCCCACCAGCCTGTTGTGCTCATGGTCATCGTGCCGGTCTGCCAGTTCCTACGGCCTATTGGACGCTGAGCCCGTTTCTGAGCCGTGCGTTGCTCCGCAGCGGTCCGCCCTAGCTTTGCTTGGCTGTCAACTGCTTCGCGAGCCCGTGTGCCAAGAAGTGTCCCCACCAGCCCATCCGGAAACGATGTCCAGGCGAGTTGAGGTGATCAGGGAAGTGCGGGAGCAAAGAGGTGGACGGCCGAACCGTGCGAAGGAGGGAGGATGAGAAGGAGGAGGCTGGATGGATGGATGGATGAGGGAGTGGGAAGGAGGATGAATAGGATGAGGATGATGATGATGAGGAGGAGGAGGAGGAGGAGGAAGAAGAAGAGAAGGAGGAGGAGGAAGGAGGAGCAGGAGGAGGAGGAGGGCAAGCGCAAGGGCTAGAGGTCTCTTGGATGCCTCTCGGAGCCTTCTGGGATATCGCTTGGGCGCTTCTTGGATGCCTCTTGGGAAGTCTTGAGGGTCTCTCGGCGGTCCTGGAGGGCTCTTGGGTATCTTGGATGCCTCGGGGGGGTCTCTTGGGGCCGGTTGGGGTCCTCTTGGGGGCCTCCTGGGAGCCTCTTGGGGCCATCTTGGGGCCTCTTGGGGCCTCCTGGTCGCCTCTTGGGGCCATCTTGGAGGAGATCGATCAAACAAGAGGGGAGCTCCAATTAGCGCCCCTTCTCGGGATCTCCAAAAATCACCCTTGGGGCGCTCTTGGGGCGCTCTTGTAGCGCTTTTGGCCGCTCTTTGGGCCGTCTTTGGGCTCTCTTTGGTCTCTTTAGGGGCCCTGTTGGCCCATCTTGGGGCCATCTTGAAGCCTCGGATGGCCATCAGAAGCGAAAAGGCGAGAGAGCAAACAATATTGATTTCATTTGGTTTGGGAAGGATGTTGGCCTCTTCGGGGCTTCCTTGGGGAGCTCTTTGGCCACTTGGAGCCGTCTTGGAACTTTCTTGGAGCATCTTGGAGCATGCTGGAAGCCATCTTGACGCATCTTGGTATATATTGGGCAACCCTGGAGGCCATCTTGGGCTCTCTGAGGCCCTCTTGGAGCCATCTTGGGCCATATTGGACGCTCCGACCGCTCGCGAACCCCCCCGTCCAGGTCCAGGGGAGGGGGTAAGGGGGAGCGGTAAACCCCTCCCCGAAGGGGAAGAGGGAGGGGTGGAAGAGAAAACGCCCTAAACCACTTACGCCCAGAGGGCTGGTGGGATTAGCCCAGTTCTGTTTCAAGAAACCTCTGGGAACCTGGCCCATATTGTAGTGGCCTCCGGCCAGTGCCGCCGATCCGGGGTGCTACCGATTCTGCTTGCAACGGAGGACCTCTATGTTTAAAAGAAGAGTACTCGCTCGAGACATCCTCATAATATAGAAATGTTGAACTCGCTTGGGCAACCGTCGGATATTCGAAAGTGACGATCTCGCGTGAACAGCCAAACTCATGGGATGTCCCCTCCCGCCTTCGGGCCGGAATGGCGTCAGCCATGGCGTCAGCCCCCGCCCCCCCCCCGACTTCTCCCTCCCGGGCCTGAATGGCGTCAGCCATGGCGTCAGGACTCCTTCCCCCCCCCGCCAGATCCCCCTCCCGGGCCTGAATGGCGTCAGCCATGACGTCAGCTCCCCCCACCGCTCCCCCCGACTTCCTCCCCTGGGCAGCCCCCCCCCCCCCTCTCCTGCCCATGGCCCCCCCCCCCCCCCCCCCCCCGTCCTCCCGGGCCTGAATGCGTCAGCCCTCCCCCCCCCCTCCTCCTCCCCCCTCCTCCCTCCGGGGCCTGAATGGCGTCAGCCCCCTTCCCGACAGGCCCCCCCCAGAGCGGGCCCCCCCCCCCTCGTCCCTTCCGGGCGAATGGCGTCGGCCACCCCCCCTTCTCCCTCCTCCCCATATTTCCAAGGCCACCCCTGCCCTCCCGGCCTGAATGGCCGTCAGTCCCCCCCCCCACATTCCCCTCCTCCGGGCCTGTATGGCGTCAGCCCCTCCCCCCCCCGACAGAGGAAAGCCCCCCCACGCCTCCTCCCTCCCACACCTGAATGGCCTCAGCCCCCCCCCTCCCCCTCCTCTCCCTTTGGGGGCTGAATGGCGTCAGCCCCCCCCGCCCCCGACCAGAACAGAGCGAAGCCTTCCCCCCCCCCTCCTCCTTCCCGGGCCTGAATGGCCTCAGCCCCCCCCCCTCCTCCTTCCCGGGCCTGAATGGCGTCAGCCCCCCACCCCCCATCCTTTCCGGGCCTGAATGGCGAGGAGAGAGGCTCTGTCAGAAAAAAGGAAGGAGATTTCTCGGAGAGGTGAGGTCTGTCCTGGAGGGGGGGTCTGTCGGAGTGTCCGAGTGTGAGGGGGCTCTGTGAGAGCGTGGGGGGTCTGTAGGAGAGAAACGGAAGAGCGGAAAGGGATATGTCGGAGAAGGGGGGGGGTCCTGGAGGGGGAGGGTCTGCAGCAGAGAAAAAGGAAGAGCAGAAAGGGATATGTCGGAAGGGGGGGGTCTGTCGGAGGGGTCAGAGAAGAAGATTCCCCTCGGAGAGAGGGAAAAGTGTGTGTGTGTGTGTTTGTGTGTGTGTGTTTGTGTGTGTGTGTGTGTGTTTGTGAGTGTGTGTGTGTGTGTGTGCGTGTGTGCGTGTGTGCGTGTGTGCGTGTGTGCGTGTGTGCGTGTGTGCGTGTGTGCGTGCGTGCGTGTGTGCGT